GCCTGGAGAGTACTCGCCTATAGTTCTTGTGTTTGGAAAGCCTTAACTACTCTGAAAGTGAAAGCTTTCGTCTGGTTAGCAGCACTTAGTAAATTGCAAATAAGAGATTTTCTTTTTCGCATTGGGTTCGTCAGCTTCTGCCCCTTCTGTAAAGACATTCAGGAGACTATTCTCACCTCTTCCTTCATTCCCGTGAGGTTTGGCAGAGGTGGTCTAACATCTTTTGCTGGTGGGGTGTTTCATGGGCTATCCCAAGATCGGTGGACGATCTTTATCAAAACTGGATCGGAGTCTTCATGTTCATGAGTGTACGTAGAAGAAATTCTGATTTCGTGTTCTCTATTTTAATAAGTGGTCGATCTAACTAATAGCACCACTCCTGATTGGAAATATGTTCTCTCATTGGTTTTTCAACGAGTAAGTTAATGGTCATTTTGTCTATTCCAGAATAGATGTGCTACATATATAGCTTTGATGGTAAAAATAATTTCATAAGTATGATAATAGTAAAAACAATAAAATTGATTGTGATGGTGGAGGTGGTGGAGGAGAAGAAGATGGTGACAGTAATAATAGTAGGGTAATAGTAACAAAAATATTTTTTAAAAATTAATACCAACACCATATTAGGTTTATAATAAAAATGATAGTGGTTTTGGGTGACGTTGTCATTTACAATAAATATTTTATTTTATACTTAAAATTTGTTTATAAATTTAAACTCAAAGGATATTTTTTATAAAAAATATTTTTATATTTGTCTTTTTTTCTTCAGTTTTTAGATAGAATTACTGAATATATCTTTAATTTTTTTTCAAAATTTATTTATTTATTTAAATTTGGTATTGAAAAGAGAGAGAGTAGAGAGACGAAATTAGGACTAAAAAAGAAAAAAAAAAGACTTGTATCGCTATCTTGTGAATGAAATTAGGACAAAAACTGAACATAGAAAGATGAAATTAAAATAAAAAATAAAAGAAATATTCGTTGCAACAAGAAATTTTATAATACACAAGGAGTAATTGTTGACATGTACGAGTAATTACTCCATAGATCCATTTTGAAGAGAGATAAACACATGAAAATAGGAGAGAAAAACATGAGAGACAAAATTAAAAAAAATATATACTAATATGAAAATTTTCTTATCACTTTTGGTAGATTCGGATGTGATTTTTATTTTTTTATATGTCTATCTCTTTTTCAAAGTGAGTCCATAGAATAATTATTGTGCATGCCACCGATAACTCCTTATAGACACATGAAAATAGGAGAGAGAAACATGAGAGAAAAATTAAAAAAATATATATTAATATGAAAATCTTCTTATCACTTTTGATGGGTCCGAATGTGATTTCTATTTTATTTATATGTCTATCTCTTTTTTCAAAGTGAGTCCATAGAATAATTATTGTATATGCCATCGATTACTCCTTGTATATTATAAAATTTCTTCTCTTGCAACCATCAACCCATTTATCTTTGGGTACAACAGATTCTTTTAATGAGGTTGAGGGATGCTAGACAAGGAATACAAAAACTTTGGCTATTATATACATGACACAGGATAATTGCATCTTGAGGAAATAGATTTCATGACTAGCTTCTTCCGTGTTTCAAGTAAAAGTTCAATATCCCGCTTTTTGAAGAGAAATTTTATAATACACAAGGAGTAACTAGTGATATGGAAATTTTTTTTTTATAATACACAAGGAGTAACTAATGATATGTACGGTAGTTACTCCATGAACTCGCTTTAAGGAGAGAGATAGATACAAAAAAAAAAAAAATTACTTCCATATCCACTAAAAGTGGTAAGAAGATTTTTACATCCGCTTAAATTTTTTTATTTTCTCTCCTATTTCTCTCTCTCTCTCTTTTTTGTGTCTATCTCTTTTCTCAAAGTGGACCCATGGAGTAACTACCGTACATGCTAGTAGTTACTCCTTATGTATTATAAAATTTATCGTTTTTGAATAGCAATCTTGTGAAGACTCGGGAGAAAATTAAGAACAACGTTTTTCTAAAATTGGTTTTGGAAATTGTATAATAAAAAATTGTCTCGTTCGTAAAGAGAAAAATAAAAACTCAATTACCGATATGGAAAGAAGCAGCTCTTTCATGGTCGGAGCTATAAAGAACATCCAACGAAGTTACATTTGAGCAGATTATAGAATTTCTTAGTCGATTAAATTTAAAAACTAAGAAATGTATACAAGAAAGAAAAGGCTTTGAGAAACAAAGAAAGAAAATATGAAGCAAGCAACAAAATTGACTAATGTCACAAGCATCACAAATTAACCATTTTGTTGAGTGGGCCTTGAAATTTTCATCATTTTTTGAGAAAGATCATTGAATAAACATTTGCTTCTTATGAATTAAGCCATGAACTTAATTAAATGATTCTCTTAAATATAATTCAGATTATTTGAAAAAAAAGTAGAGATATTCCAATAAAAATACTTTCATTCATGAAGATGTTGAAATTGATTTATCAAAAGTCAAAACATCACATTCAAATGCTATGATACAATTTCCTTAAGAACGTTGTTGGGCTCAAGAAGTTTGTTGGGTTAGATTGACAAAATGTGTTTGGGTCCTACAAAATTTGTATAAAAACTTATTTTGATGTGATGGAAGATGATTGATTAAATGATAAGTCCTATCTAGTGAATGGAAAAACTTGAGCAAAAGGTATTTTGAAAAATTAGGTTTTGAAGGATAGTTTTACCCAACAATATCTTAATTATATTTTTTCTTGCCCCTATTTAGTTGATAAAAACTTATGATTTGATATTATAAAGAATGACAAACAAGCATACCAAACGGGTCATATTTTCTTGTTTTTCTCAATCGTTTTTTTTTTAAAGAATTGAATTCAATAGCATAAACGAACTATCTTTTATTAGAAAGGGCTTGCAAAAGCACGTAATATAAGCTATGCCTTAGGCTTATGAAAAAAGGGATATAAAAGGCTCAAGAAGTGTTTGAGTGTTTTATAACATAGGAACATTTTGTTGTCTATATAAGTCTTTTTAAGCAATACCACTTGGATTTTATTATTTTAGCCGTTAATTACGCTTTTGTGTCATTTTGATGTTCATGTGAAATTTTTTCCTTTTAGGCTTGTCGCAAAGGCTTTGTCATTTTGATTGTTGACTTTACTTCCTATCCTCAACTTTCATTGTTTGGTTGTCTAAATTTTGATTTCTTTTTGTTTTTAAAATCATTGATATGGTTTTTTTGACAAAAGTTTTTTTTTTTTTAAGTGTTTCATCGATCATTTATGGATGCTAGAGAAGTATAGCAACGAGGCTTTTGCAGAGGAAATTCCAAAAGAAATGTTTGGGACAAGCATGAAGAAGATGTTTTCATGACTAACCATACAAGTGTGTGGGGATCTTGGTGGAAGGATCATCAATGGGGCTACAAGTGCTGCAACCAGATGATTCAGAACAGTAATAGCACAGGTGCTGCTGGAATAAACGCTGCTAAATGCTGAAGCTGCAACAGAGCTTGTGAAGGCTAAAATTGATCGTAAAGATGCCACTAAAGGCTGAATTTGTGTAGGATGTCTCAAGATGGCCTAGAAAATTGGCCATCTCATTCTTACAAGGCAATGATCCTAACATTACTCTTGTTCGTGACTCTGCTGCCATTGAATAAAACTAACATTACTCTTGTTCGTGACTCTGCTGCCATTGAATATGTTGAGTTTGCTCCTGTCGAATTTGCATTTTGAGAAGTTTAAGAATCTGTCCATATCAAGTAACGTAACGATCCTCTGTTTCTCTTTGTATATTCTCTCTAATAGCATTGCAGATGTAATGTTCGTAAAATAAGGGTTTTAGTATTTCAATAAAAAAGTCACAAAAAACAAAAGGTACGCATCCGACCCTATGCATTCTGAAGCTGTGAGCTAAACTCAACAAAATCCCAATAGAATTGGGAAACTTAAGTAGGAAACATCATTAAACTTGTCACATAACAAGGTCGTATGGATCCATTACTTGTACATTCTCAAGCAGATAGAGAGCTTGGATCTTTCTTACAACAACTTGAATGGTGGAATTTCTTCACAACTTATAGAGCCACACTCTCTAGCTGTTTTCAATGTGTCATACAACAACTTGTAAGGCAGAACTCTAGCGAGGAAAGCTCAATTTGGGACCTTTGATGAAAGTAGTTATGTGCAAAATCCTCTTCTGTGGATAATCATAGGATAGGTTGCATTATTTTGGGGATAATCATAGCAGCAACAAATTAAATTGAGAATTTTCTGTCTGGAACGCAGAAGATCGAAAGTTAATTATCAGAAATTTGGAAAAGAAATGACCTATCTCTGAGTAGTGACCCAGTTTTGTAATATTCAAGAATGGCATTGGTTTCCCTGCCGGGAATATTTGTTATTTAGGCAGGCAGGCATGCGTTGAATTTCTTGCATAAAAAGCCTATTGGTTCTTATTAGTTCTGCCTTTCAAAACAGGGTCAAAACTAGCCCAATTTTTTTGATGCCATTGCTAAATCAATCAATGCGAAGAAAAGTTTTTGATATCCTCTTCTTTTTTGGGCCTCCGTTGCAGAACAGAGGTGCTGAGGAACAGAATGACCATCACAGCTTAATGAACCAGATAAGAATGTTTAAAGGAACAGAATCATCCCAATTTCCCAAACAGAGAATTTAACTTGACTTCAAGATATGGCTTTTTTCCTGTACAATCCTTTAAGAGAGATAATGAGATACATCTGCTTTTGGGATTGAATTAATAACGAATACAAATCTTTAGACAGCTTAGCCCTTTTCCCTCATAGACCTTCCTCGTAGCCCCAAGCATTATTATTCAGTCATGACGTCATTAGACATTGCTGATCCTGAGGAGCTTTTCTCTTTGCAAACAAACCCACGAGAGTTAATTATAAGTCATCCAAGGGGAAAAAAAGGACAAAAAATATTTTCGATATTTTTTGTTAAATCATAACATCGTCTCTCAACCGAAGCGATGTCGGAGCCAGCACTGGATGATTCTTATTCAGTATTCTTATTCGGATAGCAGGATAATAAGATTTATTAATTTTCAAAATCCTTCAAAACAAAGATTACAATCATAGCTAAGGGAAACTCCTAAGATATTTCAATTTTTATTAATTCAACTTTTTTCCCCCAAAAAGCTAATACAACTACTTAAATAGAAAATTAAGAAAATCTTAATAATATTGCTTATTTAACAAATATATTGGAAATCCAAATCAATCATCTATAATAAAAAAGGTAAATTTCCTTATAGACAAAAGATTATGTTAAAATAAAAACAGAGTACATGTTGAAACAGAGGAATATTATGATCAAGATGATCGCTGTCTGATCAGAATTAATGTTCGTCTGCCATTTTGTTTCTGATTAGTGTCATCTTCTGATATGTCATAATGAATTCCTCTAATCCAAGCTTTAATCATGCTTTAACATGGGTTATTGGAATCAAGAAGACCACCCGATTCCATTAGGAAATTACTGGCTTGTGGTGTTAATGTCCGCATTAGCTCAGCCACCATCTCTTAATGAAAATTAAACAGCATTCCACAAGCCAAGCATTGGCGTACACGACATTTCATGCTTTCACTTCATGACTTTATCCCACTTTTGAATGTCTACTTTTTTCACCAAAACCAACCTTTGATCTTTGAAAACTAGACTTACTAGAAACTAGATAACGTTCCTTTCTAATGGTAAATGATTTTATTTCTATTATGGTGGCAATTAATAAGTCTACATTTGAAACTGTAACCTCTGAGCTGTTATGGTTGTTAAGAAAAAAAGAAAAGAAAGGAACAATCCCTTGTTTCAGAATGTGTTCTTGATGTTTTTGGATTCTTTGTCCTCTTATTAACCTTTTATTTATGTATGTTTTTTTTCTTTTTTTCAAGATGAATTGGAGCTCTTGGATTTGTTAGGATAGCTTCCATGTCAAATATCGGTGATGGCAGTCAGTTTCCGACATGTCTTCATATTTTCCACTAATCCAAACTTAAGCATGCTCTGAAAGGGATTATTAGGAACAGAGCGAGAAGAGCACCAGAGTCCACAAGGAAATCACTAGGAAATTACTGGCTGGTGCTAAACAACCGCTCGCATTAGCTATTTTACATATAAAAAATTCTGTTTTCTTCTTCTCATCATGATCAAATTGATTTTCAGAAATGACAAAGGTGAAAGCAATCTTGACTATTTTATAAACTCAATTTTTAACACCCAGTAGTGATAAATGCCAAAGCCATTAACATTTTAAATTGGAAATTGATGAGAGAGTGGCTTTTAACTTTATTGACTCTCCCAGTCAATAAGGTCTGCGCAATTCGTTTAATGGATTAAGGACTTGTCAGAACAGCAGCAATACTTTCAGAACACCACTTTCTAGTATAAATAGGTCGGATGATTGTTACTGAAATGCAAACAAGGCACCTCATTTTCATTAGTAACTATTTTTAAGATGAGGCAAATGTGGGTGCGGATGTTGGTGATGCTAGCTTTGGTTAATGAGTGGTGTCATTGTTGTTTAGATGAAGAAAGGATTGGCCTCTTAGAGATCAAAATTTGGATAAATGACCCCAATCCCAATGTCTTGACAGACTGGGTGGACAATAAAAAGGATGCCGATTGCTGCAAGTGGCATGGGGTTAAGTGCGATAGTGCCACAAAGCGAGTTGTCGAACTCTCTCTTGAGGATACAAGGAGTTATTGGGAATTTAAGGATTTGTATGTCAATGCATCTTTATTTCTGCCTTTCATAGAATTGAAAAGTCTCAACTTGGAAGGGAACGGATTACGTGGTTGCTTTAAGCATCAAGGTTCTCTAACTTCTATTTTCATCGTCAAACTTACGTATATTTCATGAACTTTTTTATCGAATTATAACAATAACGGAGTGTGATTTTATGTTTTTTTTATTTATTTTGAGAATTCTCATGCAGGATTCGAAATCTTATCATCAAAATTGAGGAAACTTGAGATCCTTAACCTGCGCCGCAATCTGTTTAATGACAGTATTTTATTGTCTCTAAGCCAACTTTCATCTCTCAAATCTTTAAATCTGGCTGACAATTCGCTAACAGGATCTACTAGTATCAATGGTAAGTTTAGTGACAGCATATATATATATATATATATATATATATATATTAGCTTCTGATAACTTTTGTTTCAGGTTTTGAAGTCCTAGTATCAGGGTTGAGAAAACTAGAGGAACTTGACTTACGTGGGAATGCATTTAGCGACAACATTTTATCATTTCTGCATGAGATTTCATCTCTCAAGATTCTGGACTTGTCACATAATAACTTGACTACAATATCAAGTGGTATCAATGGTAAGGTTGCGAATCCTATCTCAAATCGCATCCTTTAGTTTAGGTATACATATTTTATTCAAGCTTTAACATTATTAGCTACATTAGTCAGCTTCTTTCATATATCAGACACATTACTTGAGAAGATTCATTCAGCAATAATATATTATAGCTTAGTCCATTGACGCATCGATCCAAACCTTACGAAACATGTTGATTATTTAAATTGTTTAATCAAAACATAAATTAATTATTGATTGTATTCTCTCTTTTTCTTCCATGCACGTGACATAGGTTTGAGGGAACTGGAGGAACTTTATTTACGTGGCAATTTATTGAATGACAACGTTTCATTATCTTTGAGAGGGCTTTCATCTCTGAAAATTCTAGACCTGTCAGAGACTATGAACTCGACAGGATCAATGGGCATCAGTGGTAAATCACTTGAACCTCAAATCGTTGTTTTAGACCTCGTTTTAGGCTTAGACTTACGGTATATAATTTTCTTATTAAAGTAATTAGAATCTGATCTGTCTATAATTCCTTAAAAGAACAACTATATATTTGACATGAAAATGGATACTTATTGTACAGGCTGGTGTGAGCTGAAGAATCTTCAACAACTATCTCTAGCTTCTAATAAACTAGAAGGCTTACTCCCATCTTGTTTAAGAAACTTGTCATCTCTACAACTATTGGATGTTTCTCACAATCAATTGGTTGGAAATATTGGCTCCAGTGTTCTTACCAATCTCACTTCCCTTAAATACCTTGACCTTTCAAGTAACCGCTTTGAAGTCCCCAACTCATTTAAGTCATTTGTGAACCATTCTAATCTCGGTTTCCTTTCATGTGGTGACAACAAACTAATAGCTGAACCTGTCTTTCAGAGTATTGTTCCAAAGTTCCAACTAAAGTTCTTCATTTTCTCAAATTGTACGTCAAAATTACCAGAAATTCCCAAATTCCTCTATCACCAACATGACTTAAGAGTGCTTGACCTCTCCTACAACAAAATCGGAGGAATGTTTCCATCTTGGTTGTTTGAGAACAATACAAGATTAGAACATCTATTACTGAGAGACAATTTCTTTAGAGGTCCTTTACAGTTTCAATACCATCCAAATCCCCACCTTTTGAGCATAGATATAACAAACAACAACATACATGGTCAAATTCCGAGAAATATGTGTTTGACATTTCCAAATGTCTTCTATTTAAAGATGGCTAAGAATGGACTCGAAGGAGATACTCCTGCTTGTTTTGCAAATATGAGCGCTCTAGATTTTCTAGACTTATCCAACAATGAATTGTCTACGATAAAACTAGAGCAGTTGACCTCATTAACCTTTCTCAAGGTATCAAACAACAACTTGGAAGGGCCCATATCTCCCTCAGTTTTCAACTCATCTAATTGGAGATGTCTCTACCTAGATGGCAACAATCTTACAGGACAGGCATGGGATATTTCATCTGTCAATGTATTTTATTGGCTAGCATTGGATATCAGTAACAACCATTTTTCGGGCATGCTTCCGAAATGGATAGGCAATATGTCAAATCTCCAGGCAATTGATTTATCCAAAAACCATTTCAAGGGTCCGATTCCTAGAGAGTTTTGCAACCTTTCTTCTCTAGAATATTTTGACCTATCAGAGAACAGTTTATTTGGTTCTATACCATCATGCTTCAGCCCATCAGGAATAACCCATATCCATCTATCCAAAAATCAATTGAGTGGTCCATTAAGCTCTTCATTTTTTAACATCTCTACCTTGGTGACATTAGATCTCTCAAATAATAACTTTAATGGCCCAATTCCAAATTTGATTAGAGATCTTTCATCATTGAGTGTACTTCTTCTCAAAGCTAATCGTTTTGGAGGTGAACTACCTGTAGAGTTATGCATGTTACAACAACTGAGCATTTTGGATGTTTCAGAAAACAAGCTTTGTGGTCCTTTACCCTCTTGTTTCGGCAATTTGACTTTCAAGGCAGCCAGTGAAAAAGAATATCGTGCCTCGTTGTATTATCAATATCCATTATATGATAAGTCAAATTTCGAGTCCATGGGTTTACCAAATCTACGTGACCTTTATGATACAGATGGAAATCCAGCCATCATTTTTGAGGAACTTGTAGAGTTCACAACAAAGAGATATTCCTACAGTTATGAGGGAGGTATCCTTAATTTCATGTCCGGAATAGATCTCTCTTGCAATGGATTTAGCGGAGACATCCCATCAGAATTTGGAAAATTAGATGGGTTACGTGCACTAAATATGTCACACAATAATTTCAGTGGATCTCTCCCTGCAACATTCTCAAAATTGAATCAAATTGAGAGTTTGGATCTTTCTCATAATAGCTTGACTGGAATCATCCCTCCACAACTTATTGCAATCACCACTCTGGCAGTTTTCAGTGTGGCATACAATAACTTGTCAGGCACAACTCCAGAGATGAAAAATCAGTTTGGAACTTTTGATGAAAGCAGCTATGAAGGAAATCCTCTTCTCTGTGGACCTCCATTGCAGACCAGTTGCACTAGAGAAGAATCACCGTCACAATCGATGCCTAATGATGATGAAGAAGATGATGATTTCATAGACATGGATGTTTTCTATGTGACCTTCGTGGTATGTTATGTAATTGTGGTGTTGACTATTGCATTGGTTCTATACATCAATCCATATTGGCGACGTAGGTGGTTTTACTTCATTGAAGAGTGCATAGACACTTGCTACTACTTTGTGGTGGATAGTTTTCATAAATTGTCCTGCTTCAGAAGGTCTTAGTATAGTGATGTGGGTTTCTTTCTGAATCTGTTGTGATTGTTGCTGGCACAAATTTTGTATTGGGTGCTTTGTATATTGTATTGTACTGGTCTCATAGCTTAGAGTTTGTATTACGTGAGATGTGAGGTGTGTTGCTCAGGACTCTTAGTAGTCCATTTTATTTTCAGTTTTGCTTTCAGAATTGGCAAGTGGGCATCTAGCTTTGTGGCCTATCCAATTCTTGGCTTCTTTTAATAACTCTGAGTCTATGCTTAATAATAACGAGAACTTTATTCATAAAAAAAAAAAAAGAATCTTTAGGCATTCCTTCTTCTATATCTTCTTATGTACAAATCCAAATCTGTTCTCTACTGTAAGATTTTTCAGTGTAGTATTCTTAGTAGAAATTCATCTTATTGAAGAATTACAAACCAAGAAAGATTAAGATTAGTTTTCGTTACATCAAAATAGGAAAAAGGAAAAAATTCACCTTTGTTTACTTGGTTAACCTCAATTAACCTTAATAGCCATGTAAGGAGAGAGAACAAAAAACAGAGCATTAAACCAGAGGATTATTAGGATGAATATGATCGCAGCTCCATCAGAATTAATTTTGAAAAAATTCACCTTTCTTTACTTAGTTGCTTTCAATTTTTGTCTTCTTTTGTTTCATATACTTCAACAGAATATTGGATAATAAACTGGACAGTTAAATTGTTGATGTTTTATATCAGTTATTCCAAAGAATTTCTCTTTGAAGGCTCCTTAATCTCCCTCTCTCTTTATTATTCCGTTGATAGATCCAAAAAGCAAGCTTTGGGTTGAAGATGAAAGTTAAATTGTTTTTGTTGCGTTAGACCATCATCATTAATTTTGGGTCCTTGAAAAAGAATCCTTACTTCTTTAAGCCTATTAAGATACAAGAAGAATAATTTGATGATGAAAGAGTGAGGCAATTAAGGCCACCCATTCAATAAGGAAAGCAAAAGGACCATCAATGGGTTACAAGTGCTGCTGGAATATTACAGGCTACTGAGTGCTGAGACTGCAACAGATCTAATGAATGCTAAATTTGTGTGGGATATCACAAGAGAGACTAGAAAATAATTGGGCTAAATTTATTGTTCTTTTAGTTCTAAATAACTTGAACACTAAAATTTATGTCATTAATTATCCAAATCCAAAAACTACTTTGGAAAAGCACCGCAAGTGATTATTATTAGGACACTCTGCTGATAGAATCCAATTAACATGACAAGGTTGCAGCAGCACCAATTAACCTCACATCTTCTACAAATGCTAGCAAAGCAAAATAATTTGGGTAGAATTTGGTTCTACAACAGAATTTTAGCAAGTTCTCAACTCAACATTCAACAAACCATTTTATTAACATGACAAGGTTGCAGCAGCACCAATTAACCTCACATCTTCTTCAAATGCTAGAGATTGTATGTTGCCTTCTCTCAGGAAGCCAACCTACATTATTCTGAGACTTCTGGTTGTAATTGTAATGGAAAACCACAAGGTCCTATCTTCTGGGAAAGTAAAATAGGCAAGGGATTTATAGGATCTGGAGTACAAAGTAATGCTATCATTGATCACAGAAACTGTACAAGTTTTTTTTTTTTTTCCTTACGATCATCTCGAGCATCCCATTGATGCCAGAGTTACTAGAAATCGGTTGGGGATAAACTGGACCAGGTAGCAGGAAGGAGATGGAGTGTGACCCGGTGGACATAGATTTTGAGTCTGCATTCTAAATATCTGAGAGAAGTTGCGAAGTGTACTCTCACCAGCCGTGGTGACTCCTTTTATAAGCACCTTACCATCAGGTTTGATGTCACAACTGAATTCCTCTGCCATTGCAAAACAAAAGATCAGATTAATTAGCCACAGCAACATCGACAATATGACAAGGCATATGAAAACAAACCATCTAATTTTTAATGTCCATTGTAAATGAAACTCAAGGTTCAGATCAAATAAATTAATTAAATTTTAGATAGTTTAAATCAAGATTCCAGTTTAATTAATTAGATTTACAGCTCTACCACTTCAAGCAGCTTGCACTTGTGCTATAGAGGTTACATCCAAATCAGCTTTTTAGGAACAGTGGAACAAGTATTATCTCTCCTATCATTTCTCAACATGTAAAGGAGTCATGAATATACTTACTTTCATCCGTTGCCACACCAGGAAGAGAGACCCGAAAAAATAGGCATCATCGCTTTCCCCGATGTCCACTGATCCCACAATAGGTCCCATCTTTCCCATTGCGGCACTCCCAGACCACCCAACTCCATTTTCGGCAAAATTCATGATATTATTCCACTCTTCTTCAGTTGTGTGAGATGGGAAAAATAAAATACAAGGACCAACTGTCTCCACAGGTTTAGCATCCCCATCGCCTTGGGTTGGAGATTCTACCCTGTGCATTTGAGATTGAGCTCTGGGTCTTGAAGATCCAACCCTACCACCAAATTCCTTCTCCGTATGTCAGAAGTCCTGAAATCCATCAAAGTTTCGCATACTTAATCTTCAATACCACTTGAAAATGTAGCAGTGCAGTAGTAACTAGACTTGTTGTTGCATAACTCGTTGTAGAAAATTCAACAGTTACAGATATAACTAAAGCCAACAAAATATCAGAATGACTCATGACAGAAAAGCAAAAGCTAAAAGACATAGAAATAGGTTGTTTGAGATTCTTATCTCAAATAATTTTTACTTTTAAAATTAACAACCATATTACAAATCAAATATTTTTGTCTATCTTTTCACTTATTGCCTCATTAATATAGACAAACTGAATTATCATCTTACTTATTTTTTTAAAATTTGTCAATTGTCAGCAATTGTTGAGAGTACGCAGGAGGTCCTTTAATGTCATTTTTGCCTTGTTTGTTGTTATCCAGCAATTTCTGCTAATTGAAAAAACATATTATAGTTTAGTAAATTATTGGTACGTAACGAGTGTTTTGCAAAGATTTGATAATCTAATTAGAAATTTATGATAAATAGATATGAGTTTAGTTTCTTCCAAAATTTCAATTATTTGTAAAATTTTCTTAACATGATTGTAAAATTATGGTGATATAATAAAATTATAGGCAATATGTCAATTATCCAGGCAATTTATTTATTCAAAAATCATTTTAAGGGTCCAATTCCAAGAGATTTTTGCAAGCTCAACAAGCTTGAGTATTTTGACAATCTCTCTAGTTCTATACCCATCACGAATAACCTATATCATCCATCCAAACATCAATTGAGTGGTCCATTAACCTCATTTTTTGACATCTCTATGTGCCTTGGTGACATTAGATCTCTCAAGTAATAACTTCACTGGCCCAATTCCAAATTCAATCAGCAATCTTTCCAAATTGGGTGTTCTTGTTCTAAAAGCTAATGCTTTGGGTGGTGAATTACTTACTCAGTTATGCATGTTAGAACAATTGAGCATTTTGGATGTTTCAAAAAATAAACTTTCTGGTTCTTTACCCTCTTGTTTCGGCAATTTAACTTTCAAGGCAGCTAGTGAAAGAAAATATGATAGCAGGTCATCTTTTGTATATCTATTCTTTGACAAGTCATATTTTGTATCCATGGGTTTACCAAATCTAGATTTCTATGAAGGAAATTAGGATAGTATAAATGAGAATCCCGTAATCAGTGTCGGTGAAGCTGTAGAGTTCACAACAAAGACAAGTTCCTACACCTACAAAGGTGATATCCTTAATTTTATGTCAAGAATGGATCTTTCTTGCAATATATTTAGCGGAGACGTTCCACCAAAATTGAGAAAATTAAATGGGTTACATGCACTAAATCTATCGTACAATGATTTCACTGAATTTCTCTTTGCAATATTCTCAAAACTAAATCAAATTGAGCTTGGATCTTTCTCGTAACAGCTTGATGGGAATCATCCCTCCACTGCTTACTGTAATCACCACTTCAGTAGTTTTCAATTTGGCATACATTAATTGTTAGACAGAATTTCAGAGAGGAAAAATCAGTTTTGGACTTTTGATAAAAGTAGTTATGAAGGAAATCCTTTTCTCTCTGGACCTCCATTGCAAACCAATTGCACTAAAGAAGAATCATCATAAAAGTATGCGCCTAATGATGCTGAAGAAGATGATGATTTCATAGACATAGATGTTTTCTTTGTGACCTTCGTGGTATGTTACATAACTGTGGTGTTGACAATAGCAATGGTTCTATACATCAATCTATATTGGCAACGCTGGTGGTTTTACTTCATTGAAAAGTGCATAGACACTTCTACTACTTTATGGTGTATAGTTTTCGTAAATTTCCCACCTTCAGAAGGCCTTAGCATGGTGGTGTGGGTTTGTTAATTTCTGAATTTGCTGTGAATGTTGGGTTAGAAATTGTGGCTTCTTGGTTGGTTGCTGGCACAAACTTGGGTTTAGCCCTTTTCCCTCATAGACCTTCCTCCTAGCCCCAAGCCTTTTTATTCAGAGAGATAATGAGATATATCTGTTTTTGGGATTGAATTAATAACGAATACAAATCCTTAATACAGCTTAGCCATTTCCCCTCATAGACCTTCCTCCTAGCCCCAAGCCTTGTTATCCAGTCATGACATCATTAGACACTGCTGATCCTGAGAAGCTTTTCTCTTTGCAAGCAACCCAAGAGAAAAGGACAAAAGATACTTTCTATATTTTCTGCTAAAATCATAGCATCGTCTCTCAACCAAAGCGATGTCGGAGCCAGCCCTGGATGATTCGTATTCAGTATTTAACGCAGCAGATAGCAGGATAATAAGATTTATTATTTTTCAAAAACCTTCAAAACAAAGAATACAATCATAGCTAAGGGAAACTCCTAAGATATTTCAATTTTTATTAATTCAACGTTTCTTCCCCCAAAAGCTAATACAACTACTTACATAGAAAATTAAGAAAATCTTAATAATATTTCTTATTTAACAAATATATTGGAAATCCAAATCAATCATCTATAATAAAAAAGTAAATTTCCTTATAGACAAAAGATTGTGATAAAATAAAAACAGAGTAAACGTCGAAACAGAGGAATAGTATGATCAAGATGATCACTGTCCTATCAGAATTAATGTTGGTCTGCCATTTTGTTTCTGATTGGTGTCATCTTCTGATATGTCATGATGTATTCCACTAATCCAAACTTTAATAATGCTTTAACATGGGTTATTGGAATCAAGAAGACCACCCGATTCCATTAGGAAATTACTGGCTGGTGGCGTTAATGTCCGCATTAGCTCAGTCACCATCCCTTAATGAACAGCATACCACAACCCAAGCATTGGCGTACACGGCATTTCATGCTTACGCATGCTCTGAAAGGGTTTATTGGGAACAGGGCGAGAAGAGCACCAGAGTCCACAAGGAAATCACTAGGAAATTACTAGCTGGTGCTAAACAACCGCATTAGCTATTTTGCATATCAAAAGCTCTGTTTTCCTCTTCTTATCATGACCAAATTGATTTTCAGAAATGACAATGGTGAAAGTGGGTATCACACGTTTGACTATTTTATAAACTCAATTTTTAACACACAGTAGAGCTAAATGCCAAAGCCATTAACATTTTAAATTGGAAATTGATGAGAAAGTGGCCTTTTAACTTTATTGACTCCCATTCAATATGGTTTAATGAAATCTCCCGCACGCAAAAGCAATCTTGCACGGATAAGGACTCGTCAGAACAGAATTAATACTTTCATGAACACCACTTTCTAGTATAAATAGGTCGGATGATTGTTACTGAAATGCAAACAAGACACCTCATTTTAATTAGTAACTATTTTTAAGATGAGGCAAATGTGGGTGCGGATGTTGGTGATGCTAGCTTTGGTTAATGAGTGGTGTCATTGTTGTTTGGAGGAAGAAAGGATTGGCCTCTTAGAGATCAAAGTTTGGATAAATGACCCCAATCCCAATATCTTGAGTGACTGGGTGGACAATAAAAAGGATACCGATTGCTGCAAGTGGCATGGGGTTAAGTGCGATAGTACCACAAAGCGAGTTGTCGAACTCTCTCTTGAGGATACAAAGAATGATTATTGGCGATATGAGGATTTGTATCTCAATGCATCTTTATTTCTGCCTTTCATAGAATTGAGAAGTCTCAACTTGACTAGGGTCGGATTATTTTGTTGCTTTAAGAATCAAGGTTATCTGACTTCTATTCTCATTGTCAAACTTATGTATATTTCATGAACTTTATATCGAATTAACACTAACGGAGTGAGATTTTTTTTTCTTTTTTTGAGAATTCTCATGCAGGCTTCGAAATCTTATCATCAAAATTGAGGAAACTTGAGACCCTTAACCTAGACTTCAATCAGTTTAATGACAGCATTTTATTGTCCCTCGGCCAGCTTTCATCTCTCAAATCTTTAAATCTGGCTGACAATTGGCTAACAGGATCTACTAGTATCAATGGTAAGTTTAATGGCAGCATATATATATGTCTGTAATTATATTAGCTTCTGATAACTTTTGTTTCAGGTTTTGAAGTCCTAGTATCAGGGTTGAGAAAACTAGAGGAACTTGACTTAAGCGGGAATACATTGAGCGACAACATTTTATCATTTCTGCATGAGCTTTCATCTCTCAAGATTCTGGACTTATCATATAATAACTTGACTACAATATCAAGTGGTATCAATGGTAAAGTTGCGAGTCCTATCTCAAATGGCCTTCTCTAGTTTAGTTATGCATATTTTATTCAAGCTTTAACATTAGCTACATTAGTTGAGAAGATTCATTCAGCAATAATTAATATGTTATCAGCTCAGTCCATTCAAGCATCGATCCAAATCCTATGAAACATGTTGATTATTTAAATTGTGTAATCAAAACATAAATTAATTATTGATTGCATTCTCTCTCTTTTCTTCCACGTGACATAGGTTTGAGGGAATTGGAGGAGCTTTATTTACGTGGAAATTTGTTGAATGACAACGTTACAGTAACTTTGAGGGGGCTTTCATCTCTGAGAATTCTAGACCTGTCAGATAATATGAACTTGATTACAGGACCAATGGGCATCAGTGGTAAATCATTCTAACCTCAAATCATTGTTTTATACTTCGTTTTAGGCTTTAGACTTACAATATATGAATTTCTTATTAAAGTAATTAGAATCTGATCTGTCTACAATTCCTCATAAGAACAGCTATATATTGGATAATAGTGCTTCATAACCATTATTTGACATGAAAATGGATATTTATTGTACAGGCTGGTGTGAGCTGAAGAATCTTCAACAACTATCTCTATCTTCTAATAAACTAGAAGGCTTACTCCCATCTTGTTTAAGAAACTTGTCATCTCTACAACTGTTGGATGTTTCTCACAATCAACTGGTTGGAAATATTGGCTCCAGTGTTCTTACCAATCTCACTTCCCTTAAATACCTTGACCTTTCAAGTAACCGCTTTGAAGTCCCCAACTCATTTAAGTCATTTGTGAACCATTCTAGTCTCGGTTTCCTTTCATGCGGTGGCAACAAACCAATAGCTGAACCTTTCTTTCAGAGTCTAGTTCCAAAGTTCCAACTAAAGTTCTTCATTTTCTCGAATTGTACGTCAAAATTAGCAGAAATTCCCAAATTCCTCCATAACCAACATGAGTTAAGAGTTCTTGACCTCTCCTACAACAACATCAGAGGAATGTTCCCATCTTGGTTGTTTGAGAACAATACAAGATTAGAACATCTATTACTGAGAGACAATTTTTTTAGAGGTCCTTTACAGTTTCAAAACCATCCAAATCCCCACCTTTTGAGCATAGATATAACAAACAACAACATACATGGTCAAATTCCGAGAAATATGTGCCTGACATTTCCAAATGTGGACTATTTAAAGATGGCTAAGAATGGACTCAAAGGGGATACTCCTGCTTGTTTTGCAAATATGAGCACTCTAGATTTTCTAGACTTATCCAACAATGAATTGTCTACAATAAAACTAGAGCAGTTGACCTCAATATCCTTTCTCAAAGTATCAAACAACAACTTGGAAGGGCACATATCTTCCTCAGTTTTCAACTCATCTGGTTTGAGAAGTCTCTACCTAAATGGCAACAATCTTAGAGGACGTGCATGGGATAGTTCATCTATCAATGTAGTTCATTGGATAGCATTGGATATCAGTAACAACCATTTTTCGGGCATGCTTCCGAAATGGATAGGCAATATGTCAAATCTCCGGGCAATTGATTTATCCCAAAACCATTTCAAGGGTCCGATTCCTAGAGAGTTTTGCAACCTTTCTTCTCTAGAATATTTTGACCTATCAGAGAACAGTTTATCCGGTTCCATACCATCATGCTTCAGCTCATCAGGAATAACCCATATCCATCTATCCAAAAATCAATTGAGTGGTCCATTAACCTCTTCATTTTTGAACATCTCTACCTTGGTGACATTAGATCTCTCAAATAATAACTTTAATGGCCCAATTCCAAATTTGATTAAAGATCTTTCAGCATTGAGTGTACTTCTTCTCAAAGCTAATCGTTTTGGAGGTGAACTACCTGTAGAGTTATGCATGTTACAACAACTGAGCATTTTGGATGTTTCAAAAAACAAGCTTTGTGGTCCTTTACCCTCTTGTTTCGGCAATTTGACTTTCAAGGCAGCCAGTAAAAAAGAATATCATGGCTCGTTGTTTATTCAATATCCATTATATGAGAAGTCAAATTTCGAGTCCATGGGTTTACCAAATCTACATGACCATTATGAGATAAAGGAAAATCCAGCCATCATTTTTGAGGAACTCGTAGAGTTCACAACAAAGAGATATTCCTACAATTACGAGGGTAGTATCCTTAATTTCATGTCCGGAATAGATCTCTCTCGCAACAGATTTAGCGGAGACATCCCATCGGAATTGGGAAAATTAGATGGGTTACGTGCACTAAACCTGTCGCACAATGATTTCACTGGATCTCTCCCTGCAACATTCTCAAAACTGAATCAAATTGAGAGCTTGGATCTTTCCCATAATAGCTTGATTGGAATCATCCCTCCACAACTTACTGCAATCACCACTCTGGCAGTTTTCAGTGTGGCATACAATAACTTGTCAGGCACAACTCCAGAGATGAAAAATCAGTTTGGAACTTTTGATGAAAGCAGCTATGAAGGAAATCCTCTTCTCTGTGGACCTCCATTGCAGACCAGTTGCACTAGAGAAGAATCACCGTCACAATCGATGCCTAATGATGATGAAGAAGATGATGATTTCATAGACATGGATGTTTTCTATGTGACCTTCGCGGTATGTTATGTAATTGTGGTTTTGACTATTGCATTGGTTCTATACATCAATCCATATTGGCGACGTAGGTGGTTTTACTTCATTGAAGAGTGCATAAACACTTGCTACTACTTTGTGGTGGATAGTTATCATAAATTGTCCTAGCTTCAGAAGGTCTTAGTATAGTGATGTGGGTTTCTTTCTGAATCTGCTGTGATTGTTGCTGGCACAAATTTTGGATTGGGTGCTTTGTATATTGTATTGTTCTGGTCTCATAGCTTAGAGTTTGTATTAAGTGAGATGTGATGTGTGTTGCTCAGGACTCTTAGTAGTCCATTTTATTTTCAGTTTTGCTTTCAGAATTGGCAAGTGGGCATCTAGCTTTGTGGCTTATCCAATTCTTGGCTTTTTTTAATAACTCTGAGTCTATGCTTAATAATAAGGAGAAATTTATTCATAAAAAAAGAACCTTTAGGCATTCCTTCTTCTATATCTTCTTATGTACAAATTCAAATCTCTTCTCTACTGTAAGATTTTTCAGTGTAGTATTCTTAGTAGAAATTCATCTTATTGAAGAATTACAAACCAAGAAAGATTAAGATTAGTTTTCATTACACCAAAGTAGGAAAAAGGAAAAAATTCACCTTTCTTTACTTAGTTATCCTCAATTAACCTTAATAAACATGTAAGGAGAGAGAAGAAAAAACAGAGTATTAAACCAGAGGATTATTAGGATGAATATGATCACAGCCCCATCAGAATTAATTTGAAAAAATTCACCTTTCTTTACTTAGTTGCTTTCAATTTTTGTCTTCTTTTGTTTCATATACTTCAACAGAATATTGGATAATAAACTGGACAGTTAAATTGTTGATGTTTTATATCAGTTATTCCTAAGAATTTCTCTTTGAAGGCTCCTTAATCTCCTCTCTCTTTATTATTCCCTTGATGGATCCTAAAAGCAAGCTTTGGGTTGAAGATGAAAGTTAAACTGTTTTTGTTGCGTTAGACCATCACCATTCATTTTGGGTTCTTGAAAAAGAATCCTAACTTCTTTGAGCCTATCAAGATACAAGAAGAATAATTTGATGATGAAAGAGTGGGGCAATTAAGGCTCACCCATTCAATAAGGAAAGCAAAAGGACCATCAATGATTGCAAATTTATGTCATTAATTATCCAAATCCCAAAAACTATTTTGGAAAAGCACCGCAAGTGATTATTATTAGGACACTCTGCTGATAGAATCCAATTAAAAAAGCAAAATAATTTGGATAACAATAGAGATGTTACAGCTAGCGGCAAAGAGGTGTTATACCTGGTGGCAAAGATTGCAAGATACACTTAGCATAGTCTTTTACAAGATATAATTCAATGCTGTATGTAGCTATCTTATTGATTCTATATTTATCAAACATAAACAGTATGTAACAAGACAGATTATAAATATACGCAAGTCCCATTCTAGCACTCACTAATTGTGAGCTATTCAAACATTCTCTTTTAAACTTAATTATTATCAAACTAAGTAATGCAATACTTCAATTTCACCAAAAACTGATAAGAACTGGTGGATCCTAAGTCACTATCTAAGACAAAATACAAGCAGGTGTCTGAAAAATCAATCGGGGCTATGTTTGGCCAAATACTCTTTCTGTGCAAAAGGTATGCCACCAACAGGCCAATCACATTCCAAGCTTTTAGTAACCCATCAAGCAAACAATTTCAGTTCCCAGTTAGCAAACTAAGTAGGTGTGCCGAAAAAATGGAGAAGGTTCAAGTAGCTCTCTAGGCCAAACTAAGGATCCTCTCTTATCCTCTCTCTATTTCTGTATCTTTTTATTGTTTCTTGGGTAGAATTTGGTTCTCATGGATTAGGTCAAACAACAGAATTTTAGCAAGTTCTGAACTCAACATTCAACAAACCATTTTATTAACATGACAAGGTTGCAGCAGCACCAATTAACCTCACATCTTCTACAAATGCTAGAGGTTGTATGTTGCCTTCTCTCAAGAAGCCAACCTACATTATTCCGAGGCTTCTGGTTGTAATTGTAATGGAAAATCACAAGGTCCTATCTTCTGGGAAAGTAAAATAGGCAAGGGATTTATAGGATATGGAATACAAAGGAATGCTATCCTTGATCACAGAAACTGTACAAGGTTTTCTTTCCTTACAATCATCTCGAGCATCCCATTGATGCCAGAGTTACTAGAAATCGGTTGGAGATAAACTGGACCAGGTACCAGGAAGGAGATGGAGAAGTGACCCGGAGGACATAGGTTCTGAGTCATAGATTCTGAGTTCGCATCACAAATATCTGAGAGAAGTTGCAAAGTTTACTCCTCACCAGCCGTGGTGACTCCTTTTATAAGCACCTTACCATCAGGTTTGATGTCACAACTGAATTCCTCTGCCATTGCAAAACAAAAGATCAGATTAGTTAGCCACAGCAACATCCACAATATGACAAGGCATATGAAAACAAACCATCTAATTTTTAATATCCATTGTAACTCTGACCTCGACAAACGATCAAGGTTCAGATCAAATAAATTAATTAAATTTTAGATAGTTTAAATCAAGATTTCAGTTTAATTAATTAGATTTACAGCTCTATCACTTAAAGCAGCTTGCACTTGCGCTATAGAGGTTACATCCAAATCAGCTTTTTAGGAACAGTGGAACAAGTATTATCTCTCCTGTCATTTCTCAACATGTAAAGGAGTCATGAATATACTAACAAATAAAATGTTGAAATTTGATCAAACTTACTTTCATCCGTTGCCACTCCAGGAAGAGAGACTCGAAAAAAATAGGCATCATCGCTTTCCCCGATGTCCACTGATCCCACAATTGGTCCCATCTTTCCCATTGTGGCACTCCCAGACCGCCCAACTCCATTTCTGGCAAAATTCATGATATTGTTCCACTCTTCTTCAGTTGTGTTAGATGGGAAAAATACAATACAAGGACCAACTGTTTCCACAGGTTTAGTATCCCCATCGCCTTGGGTTGGAGATTCTACCCTGTGCATTTGAGATTGAGGGCTGGGTCTTGAAGATCCAACCCTACCACCAAATTCCTTCTCCATATGTCAGAAGACCTGAAATCCATCAATGTTTTGTTTTGTATATTTAATCTTCAATACCACTTGAAAATGTAGCTGTGCAGTAGTAACTAGACTTAGTGTTGCATAACTAGTTGTAGAAAATTCAACAGTATAAAGTTGTGTTCCTAATACAGATAACTAAAGCCAACAAATATCAGAACGACTCATGACAGAAAAGCAAAAGCTAAAATGACATAGAAATCAGTTGTTTGGTAGATCATATCCGCTAACTTTTCTACAATCAGCAATAACTCAAACAGCGTTTCCATAAATTGTGAATCACAGCTTTTAAATAACCATTCTGTATTAACATTTAAAACAAATCAATTGGCAAACTCATTTTTCTGCAATACACCCAACAGTTGTATTGACTCACTGCTGTAGATTAGTAAATTCGATGTACATGTGTATTACTTTGATATAGCATAATCAACATATATTACAGGGATATGTTACAAAAATTCAGCCAGTCTAAAAAACCATTTGATTTCAAATATTAAAAAGTTAAAAGAAAACGAAAAACAGAAAAACATATCAATCTAATTGGTTTCATGAGATGACTGACAAAAATCAGCAAATGAACAGGGGAAAACTCCATAGCTCTGCATTTCAATGGGATGCTCACTTAAACCAATGAAAACGGAAAATTATGGTACCTAAAAGTATGAAAATTGACACATATGTGATAGAATTAAATATGGAGAAATCACTAACCTCTGATGCCTGTCTTTCTGATCCTTGGAATTTCACCAAGTAGTTGTGCTCTATTGCTAAACTCTGCCACCTGAATTTATAGTATTGACAAAACAACTAAATGTGCTGTAAAAAGCAAAATATTTTCAAAAGGGATTTGCCATTTAATAGCATATAGATTGAGTTCCCAAAAATTAGAACTACACAGATACGAACACTATCTTTTTCCTTTAATAGCACATAATAATCTCCCCTGAGGAATGTAATCTCCATGCTGAGGAGAATGATCTTCCTAATAAAGAACCTAGCTCCTTATTTTAATAAAAATCGTAGGCACAAGCGCAATCTAATACTTGTCTAGCAAAAGAAATCTAGGTGAATTCACACACATGGTTCTCCATAAGGAAGTTGGCACTTTGTTTTCTATAAGACAAAAGGCACCATTGTTTTCTATAAAACAAAAGGCGCCACTGTTCATGAGCAATCCGAGTCTTGGAAACAAAAGGCTATGGGAGTATGCATGACTCCCCCATAAAGATGCTGGAACCTTGTTTTCAACTACATGAGAGTCATGCGTAATCCCAGCTTAGTAAATCAAAAGCTATGTAAATACACATGAGCTTCTCTCCCTGAGGAAGCTGACTGCAAGTTTTCAACAACACTAAAAGCACGTGCGGATACATTGGTCACGTGCAACCCATGTCCAGCAAATTAAAAGCTATGTGAATGCATAAGCATGCACACACAGGGGAACATGGAAAATAATAAATTGAATTTAAACATAAGTAGTGTTTATTTAGTTTAGGCAAGAAGATGTCTCACAGACATCCTTTCGAGGAAAAAAGACTGCACCACCAAATAGCAAGGCTGAATAAATGTGCTTGTCATGGAAAAGACCATAGATTTAAATGGTGATATGTTTTCTATTATCAATTGGAAATCACTTCATTATGCAGCTTTACAAACATATTGCTGCTTTGAATTGGAGTGCATTTGGAAGTTGGAACTGCCAAGTTGTTAAAAATAACAGTGATGCATCTAATTAGAATATCAACATTTGGTGGCTTGAGTCTCCCAAACAGAACCAGTGATCCTTTATTTCAACAACCATTTTACTTTTCATGATAAATGCCACTTGAATTATCATACTGTATCTAGCGAAGGACAGAGGTGATAGAATGGTTTTAAAATAGTCTAGAAAACTTGAATGGCCACAATAATATCCTAAACTTCTTGATATAATTAACTGGATGGACTCAATTGTATGCTAAGAAATACCATTTTGTACTTGTGCAGCTTTCAGTTGGCAAGAAACAGGGTGACAATAAAAAATTCAGAAATGTGCAAGAACAATAACAAGGCATTAAAAATAATCAACATAAAAGAGCACTCTAATGCTTCTGACTACCAGCTAGCAAAGTGCTCCTAAAAAATCTGCATTGTGCCAAAAAGAAACAAGAATCTCCACCCTATCCTCCAACTGCCTTGATGAAAGATGATTATTGAAATCTTGCATTCCTCGCCATCCAAGTGGATTAAGAATTCTCACCTCTAATCATTATCACACTTTTGTTTCTATAATGCTAAATAGCTACCAAAATAATCCATGCATTATACCATTTAATTTCTACCGAGTGTCCTAGCCCGCTCCCAAGGGAAGGATAATTATTCCCAAATCATAAGTTGAGGTCATGAGGATGGATCCATGGACTAACATGCACCTAATTCAAACCACAAATATAACAGTATAACCATTAAGGTCAATTTGAGAAGGCTGAGAATCTCACAAACACATGAGCCAAAAAACAAGCCTGAAGATGGACTCAGATTTCTTAACTAAAAAGGCACAAACCCATAAATGAGAAAGGAAAAGAAATTACACAAAGTTGTTTGGCGCGAAAAGCTTTTAAACTGATTTCTAGAATGTCGAATTTGTTTCTAAATATTCAGTACCAATTAGCACCAAAAAAAATAATAATAATAATCCATTTCAAGAAAAGAGGATTCATTTTTAAATATTCTGTACTGTGTATTTTCAACAAAAGATAACTAAAAAAGAGAAACAGAAGACGAAACATTCAATGCCCAGAAAACCACACCTTTTCACTCCCTATAACATCACCCATCCAAATAGAAATCCTTTCAATCATTTTCAAAAACTACCCACCAACCAGTACGGCACCGTAAACATTTTAACATCAGTTTATTTTTCTTTCCCCGTAATCTTTTATCCAAAACAATAAATTATTTTTTTTTGAAAAAAAAAAAGAAAACAAAAGGCCCTCCTTTTATTTTCTCTTGGCTGATTCTATTACAAATAATTGCATGCAATTAAACGATCCATCCTTACAAGAAATAAAAGAAAACCCATAACAGAAAACATAGCAAAGTAGCAAATTCAGCTATAAAAATTCAAACTTTACCAACAACATCACAAATAACACTCTTACAAAAAACACAAAAAAAAAAAAAAACACAAACTTTATACTAGTAAATAAAGCAGATACCTGTATGGAGAAGCCATGGGTGAGTGTTCAGGGAAGAGTAGCATTGCAATGGAGAGGCAAATATTTGAAGTTCGGAACTGTTTCTTAGGACAGTGTTTCTTGGCCCTCCTTAATGTGTGAACGACGTGTCGTTGACTTTCGTATTTTGGTCGATGTTAGAAGAGTTCAAGAGTTCTTGTAATTTTCTAGCACCTGCAATTTCCAAGAAAGCTAAGTCATTATTTTCATTTGTTGAAAAAAAAGAAAACACAAACACACATAAATATTTATGGGGAAATATTTTAATTGATGGCTTGTCATAATTCTCTTTTCTTCAAAGTTTTCGAGAGTAAATACTTTCCATTTTCTAATTTCTTGAATGCTAAAAGTCTCAATCTTTATAAGGTATGGAGAAAGATTTTAATGGAAAGGAATGTCTTAGAAACAAGCTTGAGATGGAGAATTGGTGAAGGAAGGTTTGTGAACTATTTTATGATCCGTGGATCCTAAGTGATATCCTTTTAAGATAGCCTCCAACTGTACCTTGCTTGCTGACATAACAATGGCGTATCAACTGATTGGTTGGAAAACTCGAAATCGGAAAGTAGATTTAATCTAACAAGCTTTCAATAGAGAAGACGTGGACTCAATTCTTAGCATTCTAATTAGGAGGTTTCCTATATCAAAATCTTAGAAAAAAATTTTGTGGAGGCTCTCTTGTGAGAATTGCTTAACTTCTTTTGGATTTAAACTCTTGCAAAACCTCTATACTTCACAATTTACCATACTTTATTCATCTTAGAATTGGGTCAGTCTGCACCAAAATGGTATTATCGTCCTCTTCTTATGTATTGCTCTCATCTCTTCGTTCTTTTCCACGTCTCACATACAACCATCATTCTTTTCTAAACTTGTCACATGAATATATAACATTTTCTCTCTTTATCTTATTGGCTCATAACATTCACATCATCTCACGTGTGACAAATTAGAGTCAGTTGGTGAGATTTCTGTATGATTCGGTGATTTTGAGGTTTTTATACAGGGGAGATGGATGCTTCTTAGGGGATTATAGGTTTTTTACAAGGTGTTTCAAAAATTTGTTTGCTTCTTTTAAAAAATCAAATAGAAAAAATAAAACGCCATGGGTTAATATTCTGTGAGTTTTTCATTTTGATTTGATGTCGTTATTTGAAAATTTGGATGGAGGGACACAATTAAGATGCAAAGTTAACTTTGGGGGATGTAATTAATGAAAATTTTAATTGATGAATATGATTAAGACAAACAAAATAATAAAGAGACATACTGAACTATTAATCCAAAATTAAACATAGTTTCATTCCTATAAAGATGAGAGAATCAAAATAAAAAATGAGAATGATTTTTTTTTTCAAAATAGTGATATATTATTTTTATTTATTGTATATCAACTAATTCTACCACTATCATCACCTCCACCATTGATAATGATGGTAAAAAAATATTATTATTATTATTATTCCGTTATCATTCTTCCTTTATCATTACTATTATTATTTTTATTATATCACCACCATTGTCGTTGATGTCATTAGTAATAGTGATAAAAAAAATTCAAAAAAAATTATTATTATTATTTCGCTATCACTCTTTTTCTACTATTATCATTACTTTTATTATACCACTACTACCATCACTCTTCTTCTACTATCATCTCCCATGGTGATGCTATCAATTTTTAAAAAATATATTTTTGTTATTACTATACTATTATTACTGTCACTTTCTTTTCTACTATCATCTTCCATTATGCACTCACAAATTTATCAATTCCAAATTGGAATTAAGAATCCAATTCGTTTCTTAATAGACATGAATTAAAGTTTTCTTATTTGGTTTTAGTCTTTTTGTTTTTTTATCTGTAATCTTTACTTGACATCCACTAAAAGATTTTCTTATTAATCAATCCATTTTCATTAAAAAAATTTTTGGGAATTATGATCTTTGTCACTCTGAAATTAATTTAACCACAATAGTCCATAATGTTAAACTACAAGTAAAATTTGTGACGAAATAAAAGACCACACATACATACAATGATTAACACATATGTATAAATAGGATTAGACGAGCAATTTTTTATGTGAAAAAGATGCTGTGGACTGTTTATTAGCTAGTTAACAGGTTCTGCTACTTGTCATTTTGTTATTTATTTTTGGGTCAGGTCATCACGAGTTAATTTTGAGTAAATTATAAATTAGTTTCTCTAGTTTTGAAAAATGAATTAATTAGTCCTTTTTTTTGTTTTAGAAATTAATTATTGAGTCCTTATTTTTATAAATTTTATTGTAACTTAATTATTTTTAATTTATTTTGATTTTTTATTTTAAGAAAAGAAAAAAGATAAAAAAAAATATGGAAGAATTGATGAGAAAAGATGATATTTTTAAAATAAAATACTATTAAATTAATCATTGGCTAAATAATTAGTTTTTCAAATAAAAAGAATTATTTAATTAAATATGTTGTTTAATTTTATTCAAGCAAAGGAAATGGAGTGCGAGCATCTATGTGATTAATTTATTAAACCGTGGAGATTATGCTGCTAAAAATTGTTCATTTCTCCATAACAAGACCACCACCCTTTTCCTGTCACTACCGTTTGTTTTGATGAGTGGAAATATCCTCTTCTTTAGAGCAAAAGAGAGTGAAAATTACTGAGTCGTGATACTCAGATTTTGTTAACAAATCAAGAAGAATTGTTTAGATTTTCTTACCCAAAAATGATTAATGCCAAACTAACGTGTAAAAGTGTAAGAAAATCATCTTCAAAAAATAAGGATGTCTGTTTTCTATATATGCTTAGTTCTTTTGGAAGAAGAAAAAAAATACATTTTTTCAAAATCACAATGGATGTGGACACCATTTCAGGTAATTGATGTTTCCAAGCTATCCCTGATGAATTTAGGATACGGGTTGTGGTGTAGTTGGCTTGTATGGAGAAGGGGCAGTGACACTCTCCTTCAACCTGCCAAACCATAAAAAGACACAAATCTTACACAATTTCTACTCGACAACTATAAAACATACATGAACTTACAACTTACGAATCCTCATCACTGCCTTCAATCTCTCAGCCTCTCTTTCTCTCTCTCTCACCGGTATTTACCTCCTTAAGCAATGATATTTTTTGTACAAACAAATATGTATATAATGTTTGTGCATTTGTTTTGATCAACTAATGTTTTGTCATGTAGGACCTTTTGGATTACCACTTTTAATTCATAACTTCCCCTGCTAGGGCAGTGTTGGACACTTTTAATTTGCTATTTTTAAGATTATGTCGGTAACAAAATACGTTTAGTTTTTGATCAATTATTGAAATGTCTTTTAGGCTAAACTAGCAAGTTTGGTATCATTAAGGATAATTATAATTAGTTATTCAGAACTAATGAGAATTAAATCTTGTTTTTAATCAAATGAAAACATGTATATATATATATATATATATATATTACTAAAGAGCTTATAATCCAGTTGCAATGGTCTTTTACAAGAGGTCAAACGTTCAAATTCTAACAGATTAATTTTGTTAAAAGTCTTGGAAGTATGAGTTAAAAAAGAAGAAGAAGAAGAAGAGACAATCCTCTTAAGGTTAGAACTAATCCCTTGATGATGGTTTGTCATGCATTTTGTCTAGACAAAAACCCAATCAAACCATAACATTTTAGATCAACTTTAAATTAGTCCTCTTGTTTATAAAAATGAATTAATTAGTTTATCTTTTTCCAAAAAATAATCATTTTGTCTTCTATGTTTTAATTTTATCAATAATTTAATCATTTCATCAGTTTTTTGTTAGAATAATGATTTTTATTCTTAAATTACCCTCTCTTTTCTCTTTTTTTTTTTTTCTTTAAGGAAAGAGAAATGAAGTAGGTAAAGGAGAAGAATAAGTCATCAAAAGAAAGACAATTTGGGAAAAAATCACTAATTTAACAAAAAAACTGATTAAAAAAAACTAAGTTATTAATGAAATTAAATAGCAAACAAATAAATGATTAGTTTTTAGAACAAGAAGGACTAATTAATTTGTTTTTCAAAGTGAAGGGGACTAATTTGTAATTTACTCTAGTATTTCATATGCATACATTTAAGGTTTTTTTTTTTTAAAAAAAAAAAACATATGAGAATCATTATATATTTAATTCCTAGCTATTAATTGTGAATTAATTTTTCCTTCAGATTCAGAATCATGATATTCCAACCGGCAACCGCTATGGACGCTACTCCCTCTCAGGCCGCCAATCCTGTTTCTGCTGAAGGAACAAAATCCTTTGTCGATGCAACTGTGATTGCCAAAAGTGATCGGCTTTTCCTTCTGTACTTCATCATCGGTAACTATTTTGGACCTGATCTGAAAGGGGAAGGTTCCCAAAAATCACTTTTCCAAAGAGCAGCTGAGGGCCTGCTAATCTACAAATTTGATCAACTAGCTGGTTCCTGCATGGGAACTGCAGAAATGGAGCGGATATATAACTATGTCATTCGGAAGGCAGAAAAAACTCTTGCTGTCAAAGTATTGCCATTGCAACAATTCTTTCTTGGCAATTTCCTTGCTTCGGGAACTGATAAATACCCACAATTTACTGATATGTTTCCTGCTCATCTGCATCCTCATTCAGTAAACGAAAATGGGGATAAAATTGTATCAAATATCATATTTATCAACAACCCGGATACGTTTCATATTGATTTAAAGGACATTGAAAGGTTCAAGAGACTAACTGGTCTTGAGAACCTTTTGCTAGATCGAGATGCCGTAACATTCCACCCGCATGCAGATGGTTCTGCTTTATTTGATGTTATTGTCCATGAGGCTGGATTTGGAGTAGAATGGCCTCCTATCAATACTATTTTCTCTCATAACAGAGCAAAACCTGTAGATAGCATCCTGCAGTCTAGGGATCAACATGTTCAAGGTAGTGGTTTACCTCCTTCAGACAGTTCAACTTCTCGGCATGCCAAAAGTAAAAGACCTACAGAGGATGGTCCGGCGTTGTTTTTCCTTCCCTCATGCCCCAAGAAAGAAGAATGGAGTAAAGTGATGGATGCCACTAAATACGGGCTTGTATTGACTGGTAGTGCTGCAACGGGGCAGGTGGGACAAGTTGTTGGGCTAGTCGACATCGGTGAAGGTGAAGATGCCTACTTTTTCCGGGTGTCTCTTCCGGGAGTGAGAAAAACTGCAAGTAAGTATCTTTAGCAGACAATAGCATTCCTTTTTGCACTAATTTCCATTCTGTCTTATTTTTAAAATATTGTTCTCCGACTGCAGACGAATTCAACTGCAAAATCAAAACCGACGGCAAAGTGCTGATAGAGGGCGTCACGATAACAGGCGAGAGAACTGTATACAAGTTCTCCCAAAAGTTTGAAATGCTATCCAAAAACCTTTGCCCGCCAGGGCAGTTTTCTGTCTCATTTCAACTGCCTGGTCCAGTTGATCCTCATCAGTTTTCAAGCAGTTTTGTCAATGGGATTCTAGAGGTTCTTATCATGAAAAGTAGGCGAACTGCTCAATAATGAATTGATCAACGTACACCGATATGTTAAAGGGTGTTTTGAATGAGTTATTTCGGCTTTACTATTTCTTTCCTTTGAATTATAAATTAAGTAAAACCATAAATTAATAACTAATTAAATTAAATTCTTTAAAGTATTTTATTTCTGTGAATAACTATTTTTTAAGTTTTTTTTTTTTATCAAAATCAAAGAAAAAATTGGAAAAATCCGAAGAATGGATTTTTTTGGTGACATTTTTAGGAAATTTTGCAAAGAATCATATATATATATATATATATATATATATATATATATATATATTTCTGATTCCTAAATAAGAAACCTCTCTGAACAAGATAAGAGAGCGAATTCTTTTTCTGTAAAATTCAATTGGACATGATAAATAATACAGAGAATGATATAATTATGCAATTTGAGAATTACCATTCCGAAGTTGTCATTTTGTCTGCATAATCCACCTAATTCTTTTCAACGTTACTATATATGGAAGTGAATCATATACATGTTTAAAAATTTAATTGCTTATTAAAAAAAACCAGATCGGTACAAAGACTGCAATGCTAACTTTGCATTTTGAACTTGGGAGAGGTGGCACAATTTTATTTAATAGACTATATATATGTAATATTAATAGAATATTTTTCTTAGTTGAATTAGTAGAGTAAATTTTTTATGTAAAAAGAATGCATCTAATGTTTATTAATTACGGTGATGCCAGTTTTTTTTTTTCTTCTTCTTCTTCTTTTTAATGGTTGGGTAGCATCCTCATTCGGAAAATCAAGTTAATACTCTCACTTGTTTTTATATAATAAGCTAAGTTTGTTAATATGTTTCAAAAAAAAAAAAAACGATTCCAATCTACCCTTATATTTTAAGCTAGTTACTAATATATTCTTTTGGTTAAAATCTTCGATCAATTTTTAAAAATTAATCTTTATATTAGTAGAAATGGATCAGTTGTGTCAAATAATAAAAATAATTTTATCAAATCACATGCTTAATTTATCTCGAAAATTTTAACTAAAATAATATATGAGAAACCAACTCAAAATATAAAGACAAATTGAATGTGTTTTTTTTAAGGACAGATTGAAAATTTGATCTATTTTATAAAGACAGCCGAGGATATTAACCCCAAAAAATCCTCTAGTTAGTTTTTGCATACGGAAACTAATTTTATTTATTTGGTCTCTCTTAAAAAAAAAAAAAACCATTTAAAGGTTTAAATAAATAAATCATCATAATTTCGCTTTTTATTTGTCTTCGCTTTTATATGTCTTCACCTGATAACATTTTTTAAAAAAATGGATAGATACCCTATGTAAAAGTTGATATAATTTAAGTGACTTGAATATATATATATATATATATATATAGTGTTCAAGAAAAAAGGGAGAAAAGGAAAGGAAATTTAAAAAAAAAAAACAAACAAAGAATGGTATTATAATTATAATAAAAAAATAAAACTGACTTTGTTAATGAAGGAAATATGACTAAATTAGGAATAAAATTGCTTTAGTATGTGAATAATATTAAATTCACAAACAGAAAGCCCGTGTTGCTAATAGAAAGCCCTAATCACCTAACAAACAGCCAGCTTGCTAACAGAACAGGCCCAAGTCCAAAAGGCTGAGTTCCACCTCAGCCCAGCCCGAGCACTTGTTTAAACTGCCAGCGCGCCCAGTGTCTCCTTCAGCACAGCGGAGCCAAGCCGTTCACAAGGACTCCTTCAGCCCAGCCCAGTGAGTCTGTTGTCTTCTTTCAAGCCAATCCAGCGAGGCCAAATTCTGGTCAGCTCAACCAGAAATCTAGAAACTAAGCACACAGTAGTGCATATTGAAGAAGGCAATCACCCGTCACAGATTCGGTTTGATACAAACACAAGCAGCAGCAACATTGATATTTTTAACATGATTTCAGGAGACAATGGATTGACCGCCATAAAATAAGAAAATCAAGATACGTCAAAAATTCTTCTAAAAGAGTTAGGATGATAAGATTGGTGGTAGGGGATTTAATTCTTCTAATAGTTTGGCTTTTCGGAATTGTGCTGAGACTTGTTATTGCCTTATGGATTTGGGTTTTCACGGGTCAAAACTAACTTGAAAGAGGGGCATGGTACAGGAGAGGTCAGATCGATTTCTCTGTAATTATGAATGCAGATTATTGTTTCCCAATGCAGTGGTGAAGCATCTGGTCAAACTAAAATCAGACCATAGGCAGTTGTTGCTTCAGTTTCAGCCATCTTCATCTATTGTTCCAAAGAGTAACATTTTCTGTTTCTAGGCTGCTTCAGTTTCAACACTTTTGCCCAGGAAAATTGGATTGCAGAGGGGCGTCTTCTTAAAATTAATTTACTTAAATGTTCTTACCAACTTTGTAGTATTAACAAGTCCAGGTTAAATCTTAGAAACTGATGATCAACAAAGGATCTTAAACTAATCAATTCAATTGACCTAGAATGAGGTGAGATTTTTTTGTACTAAAAAACCAAAATTATAACTGAACATAAATTAAACGTAAGAGAATACAATTGATAAAAGCTTTATTTTAAGAGAAAATCACACATTCAATTTGTAGATTGATTATAGACACCTGATTACTATCATCTCATCTAATACTTAGTCAATATACCTAAAAGCTATATAAATCATAACCTTCATTTTATTTATTAATTCAAGTCCAACACCTAAATTAAATCCTTATCATCAATTGATTTGGTATTAAGTAATCCTAATCAATTTAATAACAACATTATTAATTAGAAAGAAACTAAAACTGAACAACAATTTAATAAGCTTAATTGTTTAATTCATTCCTTTGTCTCCTTAGGCAATCAATAAAAACTAAGATCATAATCATGAAATCTCAATTGCTACTTGTACTAAACATTCATAACAATTACAAATTATGAAGATAGTTTCGCAATTAATCACAACGGACAATCAATCGATAGGCCTCTCGAACAATCATCTAGATAATCTTAAATAATTAAAATTAAGGAAACAAAAGATATTTGAATTAAGCATAGTTTAAAGATAAAAATTGTGTCTTGCAATCCAGCATGAATGGAAGTTGATATCTCTTGAACTAAAGAAGAAAATTAGCCACTCATAAGGTAGTGCATAAACCCTAAATTATGAATGAATACCTTGTAAATGGGTCCTCCTCTTTAGAATAACTCTAGAGGTTATTTATACATGTGAATAAATAAATATGACTGCCAATTAATTCCATCTTATAGGCTTTATTTCCAAAATTAATAGGACTTACTGAATTAGACTTCAAATTTTGTGCAAGAACTTCAAAACTAATTTCAGATTAGTTGGCGGATGATTTTAGATTTGGGCTCTTCAAAAAAATTGTGGTAACAGATGTCATCTTTCTATAGGATTTTTAATCATTTCAATTCAATTTCTAGAACTCCAAATATAGCCTAAATACTAATGAGCGTTTTGAATTGCGATGAGATTCGATTTCCTAATCTGATATTGAAGCCAAATTTGAAATCCCAAACCAACTTGAATTTAGGTTTTTAAATCCAAATTGAAAAGATTAAGATATCAATTTCAAACTTCAAGAAGATCTCTTCTATGTTCTAAAACTTTAAGGATGTGAAACAAAAATTTTACATAATTTAGCACACTTTTTTTCATTTGCCTCCAATATTCTTTTAAATTATAAATAAATATTACTCAGCACATATAGCTTAAAACCACACACAAAAGATTAAATATAAAAGAATTAATATAATCAAAAACAGCCACTGTCAAATTTCTCCACACTTATCTTTTGTACCTCTTCGAACAAACTAATACTAAAGTCCTCTGACTTTCCCCGTCTTCACCACAATGGCATTCAGAAAGTATACAAATCACCAATCATAAACCAAGTCAGGGATTTAAGATAAAAATTAAGTCATAGCCAGAGGTCAATTAGCAAACATAAACAAAAATTAACGCAAAAACTTAATTTAAAGAGTGAGTGAGCTAGGGTTCAATAGATTTGCTCATAGAATTCTCTAATAATCACTTAATTAAATGTTTAAAAGTAAAATGTTTCACTCAAATCCTGTGTATGTATATTTGGAGCAAGTAGAAGCCTTTTCACATTTGCTAGGGACACGTGTTGGGGTTTCAATTGGATAAACATGAAGAAAATATTCAACAACACACATTACACATGGGTAAATGATGATTACCCAAATTAAACAATAGGCATTCTCGAGTATCATTGCTACTTTAAAAAAAAAAAAAAAAGTTGAAATTTCTTCATTGGTTAGATACATAAGAACATCTCTCCATACATGAATCTAACGGTATGTAAATTTCTTCACCTACCACAGAATATACTTTTTTTTTTTTTTTTGGGAAGAAATAAACATATATGGATATATAACGGTCTTACATACTTTTAACTGTCCTTTTAGATACATTTAGAGATATATGACAAGTTTTCCATAAAATATAGATACTAAACACCAATAATTGTATTAACGTATCGATTGTGATGTGAAGCAAACTCGTGGTTAATTTTTCAAGCACATTTTCCTGTCCTTTTCATTAATGCTCGTCCACTTGGCAAATAATATTTTATGAATTGGAAGACAAAATGCAAAGCAGACAGGTGGCACTTAGCTATCACAAATGATGGCCGAGAAATTCACCAACATTTATTTAATTTACTGTACTCACAAATAGTATTTTTATGTCCAGTTTGAATTTTAGAGAATGTTTGAATTTTGATTAATTCAGTTAATTTTAGAATGAGAGGGGTTTTGGTTTAGTTGAAAATCCACAAGTAAGACAAAATAGAATTTTCAATATAAGAAAACTTTAGTTAAAAAAATCACGCATTCAATTCGTAAATTGATTATAGACACTTAAATTATTATCGACCCATAGAATGCTTAGTTTAAAACTACGTAGATGTTAAATAAATCCGAATGTTCATTATATTCATTGGTTCAAACCCAACATCCAAATTAAATTCTTATTATC